TTTGCTATAATAGTCCCTAACCCTCTGCAACCATTAAGTTCAATTAAACTCTTCTTTTATACGTTGCCTTCATCACGGTATCTTATCACAGCACCAGAAAAGAAACTAACACAGATCTTCTAGCTTGTCCAGTAGCAGAGAGACACAGGTAAACTACTGCCCTTCCTGGCAGAGCCACTCACAACTACAATCACCTGGCCACCGCTTGCACAAGGTTGCTCCTCCATGCCCACACATTCTATGCTTTGGCCCAGCCCAGTGAATCCATCTGACACTACTCTAATTGCAACCCCCCCCCAATTCAGAGGCCGATGCTGAGTCTCACAGTCAATGTCCTGGCCCAGCCTAATGAGTCCCATCCGTGCCGTTTGTAAACTCCAGGTTTAGTCTGGGTGGCACATCGTGTGCTCCAGCCCAGACTCCTCTGTCCATGTTAAACACACAATAATAATATGATATTTTTATTTTTTTACAAGTTGTGGAAGCTATACAGCATCATGAAAAGAACAAATCATTGACTTATTGCCATAGATGAAGGAGAAGAATCCCAAGTCAATGCTATAGACCAGACTTTCAACAAGAACACAAAAGGCAACTTGCCCAAACTGAGAACAGGCATAATCATACAGTTACAAGAAAACACACAAAAGGCCAATAAGCAAGTGCAGAAAAGAAACCCCTCATAGGATATCAAAGTTAAAATGCTAAATACATAGAACAAAACAAAAACAGAGTATTGAAGAAACGCTAGTCATGGATTAAAAACAACAACAAAAACTATCAGAGTTAGCAGCTGATCCCTCAGTGGAAAATTTGACAACCAGAAGAGATTGGAACAATGCACTCCAAATTCTAAAAGTCCACAAATGCCAACTTAGGTAACTGGACCCGGAAAAACTAGTTGCCATCATTGAAGAAGAAAGAAAACCCTTCAATAATACAAACAGGCTACAAGAATTCATGTACATCAAAAGCAATCCTAAAGAGAATGCTGGATGCAATAGTGTGGTCTAAAGACAGGAGTCAGCATGTCCAAGACACTCTAGAAAGAAAAACAATGAAGCTATAATTACTGAAATATATAGAAAAACAGAGAGGTGGGAGACTGTAACCAACACATAAATAACTATAATATTAACTTCAAAAATAACTATAAATATTACTGGTTATCTTAGTTCGAGTTTTAATGCTGTGAAGAGACCATGACCAAGGCAACTCTTATAAAGGAAAACATTTCTTTGGGGCTGACTTACAGTTTCAGAGGTTTAGTCCATTATCATAGCAGGAAGCAAAGCAGTGTCCAGGCAAACACGTCCAAGTATGACATGGACCCTTAGTCATGGAATCTACTGGTCATACCATGTTCCCTACCATCCTGAAGCAGCTAGACTAATAAAAAAGTGGAAGGGCCTTGTGAAGACCCAGTTACAGTGCCAGTTATGTGGTAGCAGACTAGAGAGCTGTGGCAGGGTTCTCAAAAGGTGGTATAGACTTTGAATCAGCAACAAATATATGGTACTATTTTTCCCCTACTATAGCTTGTAAGTCATTCTGATAAACCCCCTTTTAGATAGATAGATAGATAGATAGATAGATAGATAGATAGATAGATAGATGATAGACAGATTCATTTTATAAACTCTATTACTCTAGAGAACCCTGACTAATACACAAGGGGATAGTGGAAGGGAAAATAAGAGGTGGCAGAAGATAATGGGGTGAGGGATATGAAAAAAATTCCTCTACGTTGTACTTAGATATGGTGTGTTCACAATGGTATGGACACATGATGTATCAGAAGGAAAATGAGATTTTGAAACACTTCACTTTATAAACTGAACATAAACAAATAAGAAAGTTTTTACACACCAGAAAACAGAGAATAGCATTTGGGAAGGGGCTTGCCTGCTTCCTCCTTTGAGGTCACTCAGAACTCAGTAGCTTCCTCCTTACAAGCCTCTGATGGACCCAGACACAATCACACACAGCAGGTGTCTAAAACACAGATGCTTCCTCTCTTGTGGTTCAAGAGGCTATAAATCAAACGTTATGCTCCTTGGGTGCCAAGCAGCATGTTCCATGTGTGCCTGTCCCTGAGTGGATCATGGGGACTGTCCATCCCTTGCTTCCCCACTTGGTGGAGTCCATTGTCATCCTTATCCCCATGTCACTACTGCCATCTCTACCTCTGGGGTCACATGGCCTCAGCCCTGAATTAGCATCCCATCTTCTTGTGCTTCTCCCTTAGGGAAACACTTGTGATTGGATCTGAAGGCCATAGATAATCCAGGGTGGTCCCCAATGGGCAAAATTCTTTACTTAGTCACATTTACTAAGACCGCTCACAGGTGGAGAGAAACTCTTAGAGGTCCCAGGCCGTGGGGCCTGGGTTTCTTTGGACTGAGCTACCCTGTGGCCATCTCCCCAGGATGCTTGTCTATCTGAACCAGCCTCCTTCATAGTCTTTGTTTTCTTCCTCTTCCTGGACATGTCCTCGGTCTCTTCATATAGATCAAGAATGTTTAAGAAACAGTATTCTGCCGTCCTGAAAAGAAAGAGGCTGTAAAAAGGGCAAATCATTGCATATTGTGAGAAAACACCTAAAAGTAGGTGACTGTATCCATGGCATGTCATGGATCCAATAAAACAGCTTATAAACAAAAAGAAATAACTCCAAATTCAGAAAGCAAGGCACTATTCAATAATAAGACAACTACATATAAAGCTTTCAGAGAATACAATGCAGCATGCTTAGCCCGACACAGGACATCTACAGCACGCTCCACCTCCCACGGCTCACTTTACAGAGAGGTGGGAAGAATGTCAGACCCAGAGGCAGTGAACGACTACAAGGAAACAGTGTCCTCTGTACACACCAGGCAGCTGCACATATGAACCCATAGTGGTTGTAATAGCAAGTATAAGACCTATGCCAACTCAAGCCAGGCCAATTCCCAAAATAGAGAGGGGAGTTAGACATGGAATCCTGCACCCTAGTTGAAGAGCTGCCAAGAGAGGGAGAGTCTGTTTTCTTTAAGAGTATGGTGCCTGGTAGGTTGGCCACACCCTGATGGATTCATACCCCGTGGGTTCACAAACCCAAGAGTAAATGGGCAACACAAACAGGAATCAATGGGTATTACTGAAAATTAGAACACAAGGTGGATAGATAGGGGTGATGGGGTGGATTTGATCAAAAGTACATAGTATAAAATTCTCAAAGAATTAATAAAAATACTTTTGAGTCAGTCTTTCACTCACTGTGTAGTCCTGGCTAATTTGGAACTCACTGTATGAACTAGACTCATTCAAATCACAGAGATCTGCCTGCCTCTGCCTCCAAGTGCTGGCCTTAGAAGGTGCACCATCATATCTATATCTATCAAATAAGTTTAAATGTGTGAGAGTGTGTGTGTGTGTGTGTGTGTGTGTGTGTGTGTGTGTGTGTGTGTGTAAAACATCAGATTCTATGACATGAGAAAGCATAAGAACTGAATCAAAAATTGAAATTTTCCTAAACAATCTTACGTATGCTAGCTGACAAAACAATGCCTTATGATGGGCATCTCACTGGGGGAGATACAGATCTGAGATAGCGAAGAAGGGTCTGCAAGGTGAGGACTCGGAGGTAGCAGCTGTTTAGCCTGCTCTGGTTGAGAACTCCTGTCCTCCCTTTGTGTCACATTGATGATGCTACTATTGTTGACACCTTGAGAATCAGTCCATTAGATGTGAGGGAAATAATTCCCAGCTCATGCTTTACAAACTTATCTCATATGCGTGCCTCGATGGCAGGTAGAGAACTCTCCTGTGCCAGAGACTCTGAAGACAGTAGCACCGGTCTATGGAGAGTTTGAGGCTCCTGCAGGCAGGCAGCACCGGAGGAGATCAGACATGTTTTTCTTCTTGTTTCTAGCTCTGCAATGCCCACAGTTCACTATGTGCTTCCTGGATAAATGAGTGAGCAAACAGGTACTGGCTTCAGTTTATCAGAGATCATCCTCCTAAGAGGAGACCTTAGACTAAGAAAAGCTCTTAGACTTATCCCTGTGCAGGTCCACCCTAGTGATGTAGGGATGTCTCTCAGAACCTTCTTGACCCCTTCCTTTCCTTCCTTCCTCCATCCTTTCTTCTTCCCTTCCTTCTTATGCATATGTGTGTTCATATATTTATGCACTCATATATGCAATGTTCATGTACAAGTGTGGGTATGAGGACCAGAGGTTGATGTCAGGTGTCCTCCTCAACTATAGTCTGCCTCATTAAAATGTTTTTTTAAATATTTATTATTGTATATTGTATATTATTGTATATTGTATATTTTATGTGTGGAATGTACAAGTGTGTACCATGTCCATGCCCCGTGCAGGTCAGATTAAGATGTCAAAACTCTTAGAACTGGAGTTATGGATGCCTGCAAGCCATAAATTAAGTGCTGGGAATTGAACCCAGATCCTCTGTAAGAGCAGTAAGTGTTCTAAACCACTGAGCCATCTCACCAACTCCTCCACCTCATTTTTTGAGACAGGATCTCTCACTGAATCTAGAGATAACCAATTCAGGTAGAATGGCTGGGCAATATGCTCTAGAGATTCTCCTGTCTCTGCCTTCCCCCCCCCCCCAACACTGGGATTACAGAGGTACACAATCATGGCTAGATTTTTATGTACATGCTATGAATCTGAATTTAGGTCCTCACATTTGTGCAACAAGCACTTTACAGACTGAGCTGTCTCCCCAGCCCTCCTTCCTTGCTCCTTTCTGCACCACCACCACCACCACCACCACCTGCCACCCCCTTCCCTCTGCACCATCTCTTTGATGTCTGACTTACTGGGCTTTCATGTGCTCTCTGCAGATAGGAAGGAAGATTTGGGCCACCTGCTGTCCCTAGTTCCTCTTCTGTGAGCTGAAGGCTGTTGGTTCTCTGCTGCTTTCCCAGTTCCTATAAGTGAGCCCTCCAGTTTGCTCACTCACAGGAGCCCAGGCCATCTAGTAGGATGCTGCTGACCCTACTGCTACCCTTGTTCTGGATGTTTAAATGGGCATCTGGAAATTGCTTTCTTCTCCATAGAGAGTCCAGAAATACATATCCATCTCTGTCACTGGGGTTACGGTTTGTGACGGTGCAGGAGGGCCTGTGTGTTCTCGTGCCCTGCACATTCACTGAGTACCCCATAATCATGCGGTCAGACCTCGTCTTTGGGTACTGGTTCCACGAACGGGAGACTACAGACCTTGATTCTCTGGTGGCTACAAACAACCCAAACCAACTAGTGCAAAAGGAGACGCAGAGCCGATTCCACCTCTCTATGTACTGCTCCTTGGACATCAGAGATGCACAGAAGGGTGACAGTGGTTCTTACTTCTTCAGTCTGGAAACAGAAGGTGTAAAGTGGAACTACTGTGAAGATAAGATCTTTGTACATGTGACAGGTAAAGTACTGACTCCATGTTAGCCACAGAGGAAGCTCACAGGGCAAGGCTAAGACCCAGCCTGAGAGTGACTGGGGATGAAGCAGGGAAATGGAAGAGTTGAAGCAAAACCTGGGCTTCTCAATAGCTGTCCTTCACCCCCATCCTGATCCTGAATGTCTTTCTCTCCTCACCAGACCTCACTTACACCCCCAACATCAACATCCCACAGACACTGGAACTTGGTCATCCTACCGATGTGATGTGCTCTGTGCCCTGGGCTTGTGAACGGGGAACACCCCCCATCTTCTCCTGGATGTCATCTGCCCTCATATCCCTGAGCCCCACGACCACCTTCTCCTCAGTGCTGACCCTCACTCCCAGGCTCCAGGACCATGGAACCAACCTCACCTGTCAGGTGACCTTCCCTGGAGCTGGTGTGACTGTTCAAAAGACTGTCCAGATCAATGTCATCTGTGAGTTCAGCCCAAGGCTGGGGATTCATGGTAGCTGTATCATAGATGATAGTTGGATTGGGGACAATGGACCTAGACCTCATCCCTCTTGCATTCTATGCTTTCTGGAAAGTTATGAGAAATGTTACTGAAACCTGAGATGTTAAATTCTTTTTTTTTTCCTCCAAGATACTGCACAGAACTCCACAGTCCATTTCTCTGGAAGAGACGGCCCAGGTATGGAGAGCCATCTTGGGTTGGAGGAACGGTATCTCTTTAGCCCAGAGTAGGGTCCACCCTTTTTATCCTGAACACAAAGACCCCCTTCTTAGGAAGCTAATGACCTTCCTCATTCACAGCACATTCAAGTTCTGGAGCACCCCCCCTCATTCTTCCTCAATCATTTGGGCTCTGGATTTGCTCCTGAGCCATTACAGGGACAAGTCGCCATTCACATAACAGAGTCACATACCCTAGACACTTGTAGTCCATTCGTGAATCTGCGTGAAAGCTGAGCACTAGAGTCTGTCAACAGTTTTAATCTGAATGCTTGTGCAGGAGGCACTGCCATATGGGCAAACATGTAGAGCAAACGCAGAGACCTGTCCACAGAAATTCAGTTTCCTTCTCAGAACAGACCAGTGACTACACCCAGTACCAAGCTTTGGTTTATCCACATGTGGCCTGAGAGGACTCAGGACTCAGTGGCCTACTGACCATTGTCCCCCGTGACTCTGGTACACTCTGATTGGATCTAGTTCTGTGGACCGCTTCTGCTCTCTGGCAACCATCCCATTGATGTCATTTTTGCCAATACTCAATGTTCAGTAAAGAGTTTCGTATCTGTTTTCACAGATGTGTGTATGTGTGTGTGTGTGTGTGTGTGTGTGTGTGTGTGTGCGCGCCTGTTTGTCTGTCTGTTTATATGTCTGAATTACTAATTCCCAAATGTAAGTTGCAGTGGAGTCTGGTGTCTCTCTGATATAGAGAATGATGAACAAATGTTTCTTCATGGATGTTGGACAGAGGAACTTTTCCAAAGGGAGCTAGGAGAGTTGTACTTCCACCAAGGCACTGTGGATGAAACTCTGTTTAGTTTTAATTTGGGTCCTAAGGACTGATCCTAGGATGAGCGTTTACCCATATCCCTGTCCTCGTGAATCTTTTGTATCTTTGTCAATATCAGGAGATGTTTGGCATTGCCTTGGACTTTGATTAGATGTAAAGATTTCATGTACTTTGAACAGATCAAAAGAAAATGTAGTACTGGAGAGAGCTCAGTGAGTAAAGTGCTTTCCTTGCAGGGACCTGAGTTCAATCTCCAGAATCTACATTTCACAGAGACAGAGACAGAGAGACAGACAGACAGACAGACAGAGACAGAGAGGGAGGGAGAGAAAGAGAGAGGATGGAGGGAGAAAGGGAGAAGCACAGGGAGAGGGAGAGAGGGAGAGAAAGAGGGAGCAGACAGAGACAGACAGAAAGAAGTGAGTATGGTGGCACATGATTGTAATTCCACTGCTGGGAAGATGGAGAGAGGTTCACTGGTCATTCAGTTTAGCTCACCAGACTGTTAAGTCAATGTTAACAAGGTGAGTTGCAGGCCATTGAGCAACTCTGTCTCAAAAAAGAAAAAGATGGATAGTTGGCCATTTGTATATGTTCTGAGAAGTATGAGTTTAAAATCCTGTGACTAATATGAGCAGCATTGTTGAGCTCTTTGTGAGTTAGGGTTTTTTTTTACGATTTATTCATTTTTTATTTATATGAGTACACTGCAGCTGTCTTCAGACACACACTAGAAGAGTGCATCAGATTCTATTATAGATGGTTGTGAGCCACCATGTGGTTGCTGGGAATTGAACTCAAGACCTCTGGAAGAGCAGTCGGTGCTCTTAACAACTGAGCCATCTCTCCAGCCCCTGTAATTTGTTTTTGAGGCAGGGTCTCACTATGTTACCAAGTTGGCCTCAAAGTCATGGAGATATACCTGCCTCTGTCTCCTGAGGGTTGAGATTAAAGACATTTGAGTTCCTTATAAATTTAACTGTAATAATTCTTCCCTGGAGTCTGGAGAGATGGCTTGCTGGTTAAAGCTGCTCTTGGAGAGCACCTGGATTCTCTTCTCAGCACCCACGTGGTGGCTTGTAGCTGTCTGTAACTCCGATTCTAGAGGATTCAACAGCTTCTTTTGACTTCAGAGGGCACCAGACCCTCAGGTGCAGACAAGTAAAATTATAAATTTTTAAAATAGATCTCTTTGTATGCTTGACAACAGCCCCTTACCACTATAGGCAAATGTGCTCCCAAATTCTGTAGGTTATTGATATTTTCCATTGCAATTGTTGGTTTTGATCTTTGATGCAGAATCTTGCTATACAACACAGATTGCTCATAATCCTATTGCTTCACCCTTCTGAGTAGCAGGATCACAGATGGCCACCATGCCTCTGTGACGGAGGCTCTATTTATGATAGAAAGTGATTTTTCTGATATATTGTTGGACAGTGGATTGAAGGAGTCATAGAAGAGTGGACTGAGGCAGTCTCGGGTCTGGGGATGAAGTTTGGAAGGCCATATCTAAGTGCTATAGTAAGAGGGAAGACATTGTCTGGGATTAGAATGTAAGTTCAGCTCCATCCTCTTTTCTTCAGGGAAACCAAGGCCCCTGGCAGAGGTGATACAGGTAGCCATGGGAGAAGCAGCTATCAAATTCCTACTTCTTGGGCTCTGCCTCTTTTTCCTCAGGTGAGTGTTGCTCCTTGGACAAGTGAGGAAGTGTGAGGAAGGCAGAGGCCAAAGATAAATCTTAGATCCCCAGTGCTGGGAGTCTTGAGGTTTGGGTCCAGGCAGGGAGTCTGTGGGTACTAACAGTTCCTTATCATGATGGAGCTATCTGTCAAGTGTGGCCATTTGTGGAGTGTTAAGTCAAAGTTCTCTAGAGAAACAGAACTGATAAAATGTATGTACACACACACACTGGATTTATTAGAGGGGCTTATGGGTTATGGTCTATGGTCCTACTATTTCAACAATATCTTCTATCAGAAGATATTCTTCTCACAGAAAGTCCAAGAGTCCAATAATTTGTTCAGTCCACAAGACTGGATGTCTCAGCTGGTCTCCTACATACACTGGAATCTCAAAGAAGTAGACTCTAATACCACTGAAGGAATGGACTTGCCAGAGAGAGTGAGAACAAGCAGGCAAAGAACAAATGCTTCTTTCTTCCATGTCTTTTATATAGACTGCCACAAGAAACTGTGGCCCAGATGTAAAGTCTATTGCCCTACCTCAAAATATCTAAATTTAGGATAGATCTTCCCAGTTTAAATGATTTGATCAAGAAAAAAATCCTTCACAGGAGTACTTCGCCACTCAGCTTAATTCCAGACAAAGTCAAAATGACAACTGAGAATAGCCATCATAGGAGGAAGGCTGTCTTCCACAGCTAGGAGGTCCTGTGGTCTGTGTGTCCATCTCTTCCCCAGCTACCCTTACAGTCCATGACATGGGTCAGGACAAGAGGTGACTACTGCACCTGCTCCCCTGCATGCCCATATTGAAGACTCTGTCTCCTCACTCAGCCTGAGATCCCATAGGAAGAGAGTGGAGAGTCCAGCAACACACATGGATGATGGAGACACTGTCATGGATTAGTCTCTCAGGTGAGTGATGTGGGATCCCAGAATTTGAAGTGCTTCAGGACTCTTCCCTGTGATGGACCCAGTACAGCCTGGCTTAGCATGGACACTGGTAATTTGCTACCCTCCTGTGAGTCCACATCCCTGTTGGGTCCCATGATCTCTTGAATCAGTGGTCCCATCTCTTTCTAGAACTGGCTGTGATCCTCTATGGTCACCTCTGTTCACCCTTCACCCATGATGCATACTGATCCGTTTATTCACCCAACCTTGACCATCCCTGAACTTTATCTTACCATGGTCACTGACCCTCCCTTGCGTCCTGCCTCTGTAACAGGGCCCCAGATCTTAGTAGATCTCCAGACCTTAGCACCACTGATTCCATAATTGAAGTACTATTCAGACCATAAAACTCAACAGATTAATGGTTACACCAGCCAAAATGAAAACAAAGACTTACTCCATCAAAGTCCATAGTTTTGGGAAAGTTTTTAAAGGTCTTTTGGCTTCTGTAGTTCTGCTTTGGCTTCTGTACTTATAAACTGAAGTATGTCAAACTAGAACAGTGTTTTTGTACTTTAAGGCTCATGCTGAGAAAGGTTTGATTACTACACTGGGATCCCACATACCCAGTGTAGTCACCAGCCAGCTACTATAATTTTTCTACTGGATTAAACCCATGTCTTAGCAGCCTTCTCTGGTGATATCTCACAACATTCCTGGAGGTTACATCAAGATTCCACAGAGACCAGACCCTGAGACACAGGGGGTCTCAGAGCACTTTAAGATGGGAAAGAGTATGGTCGTCAAAGAGCTCCTTAGGGCATACAGTCTGAGTTCCAGATCCCCAAGACTCCCCTTTTCAACTGCTACCTGAGGTTTCAGAAGAGTCTGACACCTCCATTACAAAATGAAGTAAATTAAGTTTCGTGGTTTGTTACCTCCAGGGGTAAGTCTGGTTAAGGTGCCTTCTGTTTGGACACATAGGACAAGTCAGGCTGCTGATATAGTGACCGTTCAGGTGTGTATGAATGTGTGCTGGGCACCCCTAGTTGTCCTCTCTCCCTTTCCCTCCCCCCACCCAGTGTGCATGCATGCGTGTGCGTGCATGCGTGTGTGTGTGTGTGTGTGTGTGTGTGTGTGTTTGTCAGTACTGTATTGATCTGTGGCTCTCTCTGGTGTGAGAATCTCCTGGCTTAAGGCCTGTGCCTCCTCCTGGTAGAGATCCAAACCCTTTTTGTCTCTGCCAGGTTGCTCAGAGACACTACCTGCCACCCACCCCCAAAAAAAATCCTTCACCTGTCCATCCCCACTCCCAGAGTGAGAGCACTTGCTTGTTTTGTTGCTTGACACCTGCTCAGGGTTGGTACCTGTGTGGAGATGGTGAGGAACTGGACCTCTCACAGGGAGAGGGGAATAGTTTCCCCTGGCAAGTGGTCCTCTCTGTTCTGTGCCTATTCTAGGCAGCCCCAAGGGAATGGGGAAAGTTCCCCTGGAGTGAGCCCAAAGGAAAAGAAAGTTCCACTCCTTTCTCTTTATGATTTATGTCTCATTTTCAACTAATGAACCGTATAATTGAAAAAGTCAAAACATACCGTTTTCATTAAAAAAAAAAAAAAAATCCCTGAGCCAGGCAGGGAGATCAATGCCATGTGACACAGCATGGACAGAATGGATTTCCCTTCTCTCCAATACTGACCAAGGATATTTAAACATCCGTTGAGTTCTTTATAAGAAGATTAAAGACAGCTGCTAAAAATTTTCTTTGTCACCTAGTTGGTTCCAGATACTAGGGAAAAAATTGTAAAAGTTTAAAAAAAAATAAAATACAAACAGATTCCAGTTGCTGGAGGTAGCTCAAAAAGTGTTTAACCACAAAGAACTGAATGGGACAAGACCTTTTGCACAAACTAAAATCCATCATCACCATCTCTGATAATGAGAGACAGTTGGACTTACAGATACACAGCAAAATTTTGATGTCTTATCTTTTGTCAGAAAAATATCTCTGAGAGTTCTGCCTCCAGTCAAAGTCCAAAATACAGTTGGACTATCTCTCAGATTGATGACAAAGGTTTCTGGGGATATGGGCAGAAAACAATCCACCAGGACTGGCCCAACACCAAGCTCCTATAATTGTTCAACTAAGCAGTTTGGCTACCCCAGATTAAACAATAGCCAACGACCCTGGAAACCAAAAGAGAAATTGCAGTCCAGATTGCCTCGCTCGGAGAGACAGGTGTCTTTGTGTGCTGCCAGTCACCCTGGAATATGTTTCTCCTGCCTGTGGAGAAAACTGTGACATCTGATTCTCATGAGTCTGAATCTTCCAAAGAAACAGGTCTACACTCTTTTTTTTTTTTTTTTTTTTTTTTTTTTTTTTTTTTTTTTGTTAA